GGTGGACGTTCACAAGTGTCAGCACATTTGCCTGAATCCAGATAGAAGTTCAGATTGGATGATTGGCATCCTCCCCAATGGAAAGCTGAACATTTCTTTCTGCAACAGAATGAAATATGGATTGGTTCAATGTATACACAGACGTTTGATGATCAAAGTAGAATCTTGTTCAGAATTCACCGTGTCGACAATCTCCCAGATAAACTTCATCAAACTTCTCAAGATAACCTCCTTAAAGATCAGATGAAAGCTCATTATGATGAATTCAATAACTTCCGGAAGCCTCTGGGTGCTTTCCAACACATTTCCATGAACATTATTATTTCTTATCTTCACTGAGCGCGAGTGAGTTACCTTTTTCAAGATTCATCGTGGGGTGACATGCTGAGGAAAAAGCATCTGCAGGTTGAAGCAGCCTGCAGATTGACGGATCTAGCCATCGCAGGAATTTTTCAAATTTTTAACATAGAATTTATTTTTTTTGACTTTATTCATTTGAAAAGACCGGCTGCTAACGAAGAAGAAATTAAAGCACTGGGTCTCTTAAGTGATACTGACTGAATTTAATTCTTGTCTAGGGTACTTACCCCTCAATTAAAATTTTGAAAATCGTTTGAAATAAAAAATTTCATTGAATTAACATGAGTTTTTAATTATCTTTCCATCTATTATTGCTTGCAACACCATCTTCCATAAGTGCAACACATTTTTCTATCAGAGCGCTCTTGTTCTGAAAAAAATACTAATCTTACATCGTCATTTTGCTTTTCCTTACCGCCAGCTTCAATTCCGGTTGCTCTGCTTGCATGAAGTTGTAAATTGAATCAATAAATGGCACTATTACAGAAGTAGCGTGTGGTAAGAGATAATGATAGGATTCCTCTAACTGAACATGGAGATGTTAAGATATTTTTATACTTCTCACACATTTACCTGTTCTAGTGTGTATGGTAATTCCTCCACTTCCTCGCGGAGGTAACTATAGAAGGTGCTCAACAACTCTTTGTGGTGATTTCTACGATCGTCTGCACTCAAACAAGTGGTGAACGTTCGAGCAAGTTCAAGAGCGGAGGAATTGAAACTCGCAGTCTTGAGATGTATCATATAGGGAGTCTGAT